AGGCGGAAGCAGCGGAGCATCACACACGCTACATGCGCACCAGCATCCGCGCGGAAGACGACCTCTGGCACCAGCGACTTGGACACCCCTCCCCCCAGACCCTCGCCAACTGCCTCCGCGCCAAGGTCTTCCCCCCAGGAGCACTTCTGCGCCCCGACGGCACCGAACCTCATAACACCCCTCACCCACTCGCCTGCACCGTTTGCCCCACTGCAGCCCTCACACACAGCGCTTATCCCTCTCTGGAGCCGAGCACCAACCGCTACAAGAAGCTGCAAAAGGTGTACAGCGACTTCATTGTACTCACCTGCGACGGACTCAACGGCGAAAAATACACGCTGACCTTCATCGACGCCTACTCACGCCACGTCTGGATCGCCAACGTCGACGCGCGCTCCAAGGCTCCAGAAGTCTTCCGCATCTGGCTCGCACACGCACAGCGACAGTCAGGGAGGAAGCTGAAAATCTGGCAGAGTGATGGTGCCAAGGAGTTCCGCAGCCACGAACTGGAGAGCGTCCTCACCGAGAAGGGAATTAAGCACGAGATCTCCCTTCCCTACGCTCATCAGCAGCAAGGAGTCACAGAAAGGGTCAATCGTACTCTCATGACGAAAGTGCGCGCCCTCATGAACCAGTCCGGCCTACCCAAGAAGTTCTGGCCTTACGCCATGAACCACGCGGTGCGCCTGTACAACCTTCTCTCCACCACGGCCAATAGGGATAACCTTTCCCCGCACATGAAATGGACCGGCTCAAGGGGAGACCCCTCCATGCTGAGGGTTTGGGGGTGCATGGTGCAATAGCGGCCAACTTCAGCAAACATCGGCAAGTTTGCTCAACGTGCACGATGGGGGGTTCATCTGGGGCTCAGCAATGAGCACAAGGGCTGGCTTGTCCTCGACATCGACAGCAAGGAGATTGTTCCCGCGCACGATGTTCTCTTCTACGAGCGACTCACCTTGCAGCAGTGGATTGATTATGAAACACGCAACCAAGCTCGCGGCTATGTTAACAGTGGCCGCAGCTTCGCGTCTCCTGAGGACGAAGCAGCAGCAGCGGCATTCGATCGCGACGACACCGACGACCCTCCCGGTGTTCCGCCTCGCCCTCGCACGGACGATGACGACAACGACAACGACGACGCCCCTGCGCCCGGACCATCCCGCCGTGAAGCCACACCAAGCACATCCTCACCTGGTCACGAGAGCGACGATGATGACGTGGTGGAAGTCCCCATCACCGACACCGCAGATACCACAAACATGTCGGGTCTACAACTACTCGGCCTTAACACCTCCGTCTCAACCCTCGCCCGCGCCGTCGAACCAAAGCACCCGCGCCAGGCCCTAACCGGCCCTCACGCCAAGGAGTGGCGTGCAGCCATGGACGCTGAAATACAGGCGCTAGAGTCTCGTGACACATGGGTTCTCGTCGATCGTGCAGCAGTGAAGGGGAGAAGGGTGCTAAGCGGAAAATGGGTTTTTCACCTCAAGACTAACGCTGACGGAACCATCGAGCGCTTCAAGGCACGATGGGTCGTACGCGGATACGACCAGCGCCACGGCATCGACTTCGACCAAACCTTTGCTCCCGCCAGTCGCCACACCTCAGTCAGGATTCTACTCGCCATAGTGGTCGCTAAGCATCTGCCACTGCGACAGATCGATGTAAAAATCGCATTCTTATATGCGTTAGTGGACGCAGCCATCTTCGTGGAACAGCCACACACCTACGGAGAAGGAGATCCCAGGGTCTGCCAGCTAAAGAAATCCCTCTATGGGATCAAGCAGGCGCCTCGTCTCTGTCAACAGCACCTGCACAAAATTCTACTCGAAATCGGCTTCAGGCATCTGCCGCACAACCCGAAAATGTACCGCCTCCACTTCAACGGCGACTACATCCTCCTTACCGTCTACGTCGACGACCTGCTCTACACTGGCACCTGCAACACACTCCTTAACCAGTTCGAGGAGAACCTGGCGAAGCGCGTGGACATCACCATCAACCACAAAGTCACTCAGTTTCTGGGCCTGAACATCACCTACGCGCCAGAAGCAATTCACCTGTCAGTCTCAAAGTACGCAGAGCAGCTGGGGGAGTGATTCAATATCTCACGTGCTCCACTCTCAACTCCCTACCGCAACCCCAGCACCAACTACAAACCGGACAACAAGCCTCTGTCCCCCGCAGGACTCCAACTGTACCAGCAGCAACTGGGCTGCCTGCTGTTCGCATCTGTCACATGCCGACCCGACCTCTCGTACATCGCCAGCCAACTGGCACAGTACTCCCGCAAGCCAGTAGCCGAGAACCAGCTGGACCTGGAGCGCGCCCTGCAGTACTTCATCTCCACACCTGACATCGGGCTCTCCTACTCCACGCTGTCAACAACATCCTTCAACCTCAACGGCTACGTGGATGCTGATCACGCTGCTGACCCAGCAAATCGACGGTCCCGAACCGGCTTTGTCTTCCGCCTGGAGCCAACTGGCCCCATCTCCTAGAACTCGCAAAAGCAGGAACTGGTTGCCCTGTCATCGGCCGAAGCTGAATACATCGCCGCGACAGCAGCAGTTCGCGAAGGCCTGTACCTGCAGGAGCTGCTACAGGAGGCGAAAATTCCAACTTCGCCCACCTTTCGCCTGCACTGCGACAACCAGAGCGCGATCAAGATCGCGAACAAGCCTGGGTTCGTGAACCGCACGAAGCACATCGCACTACGGTACTTCTTCGTCAAGGACGAAATCGACCAGGGCAAAGTTGACCTCGCATACTGCCCGACCACTGAAATGGCAGCCGACTTCCTCACCAAACGCCTGCCACGTCAGCAGTTTTAGCACTGCTCCGACCTCACCGGAGTGGTCAAGCGAGTCAGCACCCTTCGCGTCCAGGAATGAAGGGGAGTGTTACGATATGGAGTTTTGTGAAAAGGCATTCCTGTATGCTGCAGGAGCCGACTCTACCGAGTACGAAGTCGAGAAGTCAGAAGAGTCGAAGCGACACAGCAACCGTCTGATCAAGACCGATGCAGGCAGAAACAATTGAAGTGAAAAGAGCGGGAACATGTTTGAAACTGATTCCCACGCCGCACGGTTTGAATTTCACTGGAATTATGTAATGTACCCCTTAGAGTACATGGCTAGTCTAGGTCGTTTCGTATTCCTTTGTATTTCTATATAAACCCTATGTATGCATGCTATTATCATCTCAGTCATTTTACATTCACTCTGACCTGAGTTCACTACTTCCGCTGCGACACTACCTGCGATCAACCCTGAACAATCCTTTCTTCGCTGAGTCACACTTCAGATTGTAACAGAATCTAATCCTCCACTCATAACAGCTCAACGGAATTGAATAGATATCGTGAAAGCGGTTCGTGAGCTGCATTCGTCGGCTGTACCTAACTCGTCAGCGTCTAGCGGAGCTGCTTTATTATGGTTTAAGTTTGATACAAAGTCGTGGGAAATAAGATAAGGGGCATTAAAGGAATGTAGAAATGGTGGAACAAGGAAAGGGTGGTAAGGAGAAAAGAGCTGGAGAAGAAGAGAAGGGCCGAAGGAAAGGTGAAAAGAGTGTCAGAGGTCCACTGGAGATCCCCGATGATCCTAGGGAAGGGTTACAGGCACGTCGGCCTGGGGGGTTATGGGCGCACTCACCCGCTACACAAACAAGCCCTTTTATCCCAGTGGTTAGTGGCTGGGATTCTGACATGGTATCAGAGCGAAGGTCTCGGGTTCGATTCCCGGTGTGTGCACCTCGGGCATCCCAGTGGTGGGGGGGGGGGGGGGGGGGGGGGGGGGGGGGGGGGGGGGTGTCAGAGGTCCACTGGAGATCCCCGATGATCCTAGGGAAGGGTTACAGGCACGTCGGCCTGGGGGGTTATGGGCGCATTCACCCGCTACACAAACAAGCCCTTTTATCCCAGTGATTAGTGGCTGGGATTCTGACAAAGAGGAAAAGAAGAGAGGAAGAAACTAAAGGAAGAAAACACCTAAGGACGTGTTGTAACTTGCGATGCACTGCATCGGCTCGGCTCGGGGCACGGGTTCAGAAAGGCTCCGGGCAAGACGAGGGCGTTGAAATTTTACGGAAAACGCGCAACAATATTTTTTTTGTCCTAATAAAACCTTGGCAAATAACTCTATTATTCATTATATTGAATTTTCTCTTTGCCCGGGTTTGGCCTCCCGTTTGCCTGGAGCCTTCCATTCGTCCCGGGCCGATGTAGTGCGTCGGCAATTGCAACACGTCCTAAGGACCATAACACCTGTGATTACGATCAATATATAACCTTAACCTAAGGACCAGAACACCACAGCAACCCGCACCACAGCGCGGGACACAGACGCCTATACAAAAGCGTCTAGCGGAGCGGGTGGACAGGTGGACATTCACCTTCCTTGAATTTCGCCACCTCATCCAACGTTTGTGAACATGAATCATCGGCACTGGGTGGACGAAGTCCAACTTTGAGGGCAAGGGGGAGGATTCACTTTTCCCGAACGCAACTGATTGGCTTGCACATTTGCGAACTGACTAGACCAGCCAATCATGCGTCGAAGATGTGGATATTGCTCTTCGCCATTTCGTCTTTCGCCGACGTGGTTCTATCTAGCGTTCGAGGCAGTTGGCCCGAAAGGTAGTTGGTGGTGTGTGGCTGGTGGGACTTTCGCGATTCTTCGCTTGTGGCTCTGGTTCATGCGCCTCGCATCGACGGAAATGGTGGGAAGATTCATACAGCAACAAAAGACAGCTCTGATCATCACTACGCAACTGACATTGGTGCATCATAGATTGGACGCCTAATTTCTGGAACCTCCATTGCGGGAGCCCCGCCAGCTATTGCTCCCAATTTTTTGGCTAGATCTTTGGTAGCACTTGAGCCTTGTTCTCCTGGCGAGGTTGTGCTAGACGGGTAGTAGTAGACGGGTAATCTCCTGACCCAGATACAGACCTAGCTCGTGTAGACCCAGTTGCTCTTCTCCCGCTCTTCTGCCATGACTCACCAAGTCGCGCGGTGCAGGCCAGCGCCGCACGCTTTGGCTCACGACTCGCTGTCGTCATCGAAGGCGCTCGCCAACGTCCGCTCTCTAAAGGCCCCCGCGCCCGCCTTGCTCCTCACCTCCCGCCGCTCCTCATGCCGGCTAGCTGTCCGAGCGGTCCTGGACAAGTCGTCCAGCCGCAACAGCAACAGCAGAAGCGGCAGCAGCGGTCAAGGGGACGGGCATGGCGGCGGGAAGCTCAGCAGCGACCCGCTGGAGCTGGCGCGGTCGGCGCTGGAGCGGCTGTTCCAGCAGGCGCACGAGCACGAGGAGAAGCAGCGGCTGCTGGGCCCCTCCGCGGCGCCGGCGGACCTGACGGGCGCGTCGGTGGCGTTCCTCGAGGACGCCGTGCAGCAGCTGGAGGTCGACCTCTCCGCCGTCTTCGAGGCGCTCCGCGAGAAGGAGGGCGAGCTCGCGCTCGACGAGCGCCGCGTCGCGGACGAGCGCGCGAGCCTGGTGGCTGCGCGGGAGGCGCTGATGGCGCGCGAGGCGCAGCTGGAGGAGCGGCAGGCGGCGCAGGGGGCGATGCGGGATGAAGCGGAGCGGCTGCGGCGGAAGGTGCGGGAACAGGACGCGGAGGTGGAGGAGGTAAAGCGCGCGGTTGCGGAACGCGAGGCGGAACTTACGCGTGCGAAGGAGGTGCTTGCGCTGAAGGAGGAAGAGATTGCGCGCGCGCACCTCGCCATCCGCCAGCGCAACGAGCGCATCGAGGCGGCGGAGATGGACGCCAAGACGCGCGAGACGCAGCTGTCGGCGGCGGAGGCGGAGCTGCGCCGGCTGGAGGCGGACGTGGCGGCGGCGGAGGGCGAGGGAAGGCGGGCGGCACAGGAGGCGGAGGCGGCGCGGAGGGAGCTTGAGCGGCAGGAGGCGAAGCTGCAGGAGATGTCGGCGGAGCTTGAGGGGCGCGCGAAGGTAGTGGCGGCGGCGGAGGAGGAAATCAACGCGCTGTCCGCGCGGCTTCGCGAGGCGGGAGCGAGCGGGGAGTTGGTGGAGCAGGAGGTGTCGGGCGCGCGGCGGGTGGTGGGCGACCTCAAGGCGGAGATGGCGCTGTCGGGCGGCGCAGCGGAGGCGTTCCGCGCGCAGGTCAAGGAGCTGCGGATGGCCGTCGCGCGCAAGGGGCGCGAGGCGTCTTCCGCGCGCATGCAGGCGCAGAAGCGCGAGAAGGAGCTGAACCGCGCCAAGGGAGAGCTGGAGCGCGACCGGGCGGCGCTGAAGGCGGCCAAGGCGCGCGTGGCGGAGCTGGAGAAGCAGGTGCGCGCGCAGGTGGACGAGGCGGAGAGGCTGCGGACTTCCGTGAACGCGGAGCGCGCGGAGATGCGCAACGCGAGCACCGAGCTGGCGCAGCTGCGGAAGGAGTTCCGCCGAGTGGACGGCGAGCTGCGCGAGGCGAAGCTGGCGCTGAACCTCAAGGAGGCGGAGATCGTCAGCCTGCGACTGCAGCTGCGCGACGCGCAGGCGAAGCTCGCGACGTCGCAGGCCGACCTGGCGACGCGCACGGCGGACCTGATGGCGGCGCAGCGGTCGATGGTGGAGATGCGGCGCGAGATGAAGGCGGTGGCCATGGAGCTGCGCGTGAAGGAGGAGCGCCTGGCGGGCATGGCGGCGGACATGGCGCGCAAGGACGCGCGCCTGGCGCAGGTGGAGCAGCAGCTCGACGGCAGCAACGCGCGACTCGTCGTCGCCGAGTCGACGGTCCAGCAGATCGCACAGCTGTCGCAGAAGCTCGCAGACTCCGCGCTCGAAGCCGCCGAGCGACTGGGCCTCGGCCCGTCGGTGTCGCTCGACGCGGCGCCGCTGTCCGCCGGGGCGGCCAAGGGGAGGCGGTACCTGAGCGCGCACGGCGGGGTGGGGGAGAGCGCGCTGCTGGCGGAGACGAACCAGCAGCTGTTCGCCACGAGCCGCGCGCTGCTGGAGCGCGACGCGGCGCTGCACCGCCTGCAGGTGTCGGCGCGCGAGGGGCGCGAGGCGGAGGTGCGGCTGCGCGGGGAGCTGGCGGTGGCGCAGGAGGAGCTGCGCGCGCGCGAGGGGGAGGTGGCGGACGTGCGCGCCGTGCTGCAGGAGCGCGACGAGGAGGTGCGGCGGCTGCGCGCGCGGTGGGGGCAGCGCGAGGGCGAGCTGAGCGCCATCCGCGAGGAGGTGGTGGCGGGCGCGCGGGAGATCGGCGAGCTGAAGCGCGCCATCACGGGCGCGGGCAGAGCGGGCGAGGGGGAGGGGGAGGGGGAGGGCGTGCAGTTGGCGGACGAAGTTGTGAAGCTGGAACTCGAGGTGAGGGGGGCGCGGGGTGTGGTGGGGGTGGGGGGAGGAGGCATAGTGGGGTGTGGGGTGTGGTGGGGGTAGGGGGAGGGGGTGGGAGGATTTGAGAGATGGTGATGAGTATGGACATGGCATGTGGGGAGTAAGCGATTGTTGGGTGCTGGGTGGCATCATGCTTGCATCAGGGGGATTGTGTGTGGCTGGATGCTGTTTGTTCCTGGTGGGGAAGTCTCCACCAGGCACTCACTATCAGATGCCGCTGCATCACCACTCGTTCGTCTGCTCATTGACCTTAGCACCGCCACCATTCTCACCTCCCTCACCCTCCTCTCTCCCCCCCCTCCAGGTGGCCAAGGCGGAGGCGGAAACAGCCATGACGGCGCTGCAGGGGCTGCTGGACCTAAGCTGCCAGCTACGGGACGACTGTGCCGCCCACCCCCTCGCAGCCTCACACCCGCGCCAGCCTGCTGTGCCGGCTGCTGCTGCTGAGATGCTGGCACGGGGCAGTGGAGCCAGCAGAGGGGCGAGCGGGCAGGTACAGGAGGCGGGGGCGGTGCAGCAGCGGACGGGGCAGCGGGAGGAGGCGCTGGGGCTGGCTGCGAGGGCCATGGGGGGGCTCAAGCGGCTCACTCGCAAGCTGGTGGCGGATGCTGAGAGTGAGCTGGCTGGTGTGATGGGCAGCAGTGTTGCTTGATGAAGGCGCCTGCTAGGGGCTGGAAGAAGTTAAGGGCAGGGCTGATGCCAGCTGTGCTTGAATGTAATCGTAGTGGCTCTCATTCTGTTATTTGTTGCAGCGCTGTGCATACCGCGGAGTGGAAGCCAGTTTGCGTCCAAATAGGCCAAGTGCACGAGGGAACCTCTCAGTAATTAAGCGGCAAAATAGTGAAGTGGAGACAATTAGGTAGTGTTATGTAAGATTGCGAAATCAAAGACAGGTTTCCCATGGTGCCTCCTTGACATTGCTAGTGTATTGGAACTGGTAATTCTTCAAATATAAGGTCCCCACATTCAGAAAATTGAGATTGTAAATGATAAAGCAAAATTTCAGTAATTATGTTCGGTATAGCCGAGGACGAAAAGTGCAGAATTACGGCCTCCGCCCGGTCGTACCTTATGGTTGTTCGTCGAAGTCTGGATCGTCAACGAGTTCCCGCTCATCGGGGTGGCGATTGAATGAGGTTGCGTCCTAGCTGTGATGTTCTTGTTGGTTGCGACATTATGACAGCACTGCAACCTTGTTTCTGGCATCGTCAAGCGTCGCCAAAAAAATCGCTGCCCCAACGAAATCCGCCTTGTCACCCTTCCTGTTTCCGTCAGCGTCTTGCTGTACAAGCCACCGGACAAGGTGGCACTCAAAGATTATATTATCAAGTAACCAAACGTTTCTTCTATACCACTTTGGGCAGCCAATAATTCCGAGATTGGCCAGCAAAACGTGAGGACGTGTTTCAGATAGAACTGACCGGCGTCGTTCATGCCTGATCGGTTTGGAGTGGTCACGACAAATTGCAATTCCCGCGCCCCCCGTTTTAGGAATTTCATTTTGTGCCTGCAAGTCAGTTGCGTCGATATCAGCATTGGCGAGAGATGGCGAACTGACCAGGTAGCAGGTAGCATCGAGATTTACCGTGCGCTCGAGGTGTGGACGACATGTTAGAGAGAAAGTAACTCGTCGCTCGCGTCGCTAAGTGGACAAATCGTTGCCGACCAATTGTTTGCAACCGATCTACATGGATGGCGATCGATCTTGAAAGATCGAGGCGATCGATTGAGTCGGGTCGACCCGTCGTTAGCGATCTATAGATTGCTCTCGATCGCCGCGATCAGAAATCTTGGTTTCGAAAAAGTTTTAAAAGCCTTTGATCGAGGCGATCGTTTGGGTGTGATAATTATCCTAAGTGATAGCGCTGAGCGTGGAGCGACCATACAACTTTGGAGCAATGGGCACTACGAAAAAAAAAAAGTGGAAGGAATCCCCTTTACCTCCCTTGGTCTCCCTTGAAAGGTTCCCAGCACTTGTCCCACTAGCAATTCTCACCCTACCCGACCAAGCGAGATACCGAATTGACCGTTCTACAACGTAAAAAATCTCATATAGCCGCATCAAGACGAATGTCTGGGACACCTCCAGCCAGACCCCCATTCCTCCATCCAGCTCATTATTGTTCAAAGCTTTCTTGAAATCCACACAAGTTCCGACAATATCAAGAATCCAGATCACGGTAGATGCTTTCAAACTCTATACCTGCTTCACTACTAGAACCGTCCGCAAACAATAATTTTAGAAGCCACCATTTCCTCTCAAAGGAGCTTCCTTGTTCCGCTCCGCGCTGAAAGCAACGCCGCATTCGAGATTTTTAGACGCGTTCTACTCGCTCCTCCGCCGCCGCCACACCCGGCGCGGTCCCACGAGTCTTGTCCAACACAAAACCGTCGCGAGTTGAGTCTTACCGTTGCGATGAGGCCGGGCTCGACGCGTTACTACTATGCGGCACCGAGGAGAGTGTCGCGCGACTCGGCGAACTGCTCCGAGAGATTGCTGTCCCTTTCGCTTCTCACTGTCGCGCTGGCGCTTCATTTCCTGGCGAGCGTCCATGTACACGCTGCGGAACCCGTCGTGCCAATAGACGCACTGCAAGGTGACTCGCTAGAATACCGGGGTTGGCCGTAACTTTTTTGGGATGGGAGTACAAGGTATGATAGCGCGAGAACGGAAGAGTGGATGTTCACGCTCCCGCTTGGACACAAAGATTGAACATGCGATGCGGTGCGGCGGTGTTTTGCAATAAGATGCGATCGGTGCGGTGCGGCATTACTACGACGCGATGGGACGGGCGAAGGGATGGGGTGTGGAGTGGTGTCATAATGGTATGTGATGAAGTGACGTGATGGATGGATGCGGTGCCAGTATGCCGCAGTGGCGCGACTTGGTGTGAGTGATGCAAGGAGATTGGATGGGATGAGTTGGGATGGGATAGAAGGGATGGGATGGGATGGGATGGGATGGGATGGGATGGGATGGGATGGGATGGGATGGGATGGGATGGGATGGGATGGGATGGGATGGGATGGGATGCGATGGGATGGGATGGGATGGGATGGGATGGAATGGGATGGGATGGGATGGGATGGGATGGGATGGGATGGGATGGGATGGGATGGGATGTGATGTGATGTGATGGGATGGGATGGGATGGGATGGGACGGGATGGGATGGGATGGGATGGGATGGGATGGGATGGGATGGGATGGGATGGGATGGGATGGGATGGGATGGGATGGGATGGGATGGGATGTGATGGGATGGGATGGGATGGGATGGGATGGGATGGGATGGGATGGGATGGGATGGGATGGGATGGGATGGGATGGGATGCGATGGGATGGGATGGGATGGGATGGGATGGGATGGGATGGGATGGGATGGCATGGGATGGGATGGTATGGAAAGGGATAAGATGGGATGGGATGCGATGGGATGGGATGGGATGGGATGTGATGATGGGATGGGATGAGATGGGATGGGATGGGATGGGATGGGATGGGATGGGATGGGATGGGATGGGATGGGATGGGATGGGATGGGATGGGATGGGATGGGATGGGATGGGATGCGATGGGATGCGATGGGATGGGATGGGATGGGATGGGATGGGATGGGATGGGATGAGATGGGATGGGATGTGATGGGATGGGATGGGATGGGATGCGATGCGATGCGATGCGATGCGATGCGATGCGATGCGATGCGATGCGATGCGATGTGATGTGATGTGATGTGATGGGATGGGATGGGATGGGATGGGACGGGATGGGATGGGATGGGATGGGATGGGATGGGATGGGATGGGATGGGATGGGATGGGATGGGACGGGACGGGATGGGTTGGGGATGCGATGGGATGAATGAGATGGGATGAGCGAAAATACGGCCGTTTTTCTGTGTCACCAAGAAAAAAAAAGGCAAAAACAAAGTCAGTTACATTTTAGATTATGCCCGCACATGCACACATGCGAGAACGGGTTCGTCCTCTTCATCTTGGTGGTTTTTGCAATCAATCTTGTCCCGAAAATTGGCCGATTTTTTTCTTCAAACGAAAATCACCTTCTGGAACCAATTTTGGTCGTTTTTTACAGTACCATTTTTATGTCTCCAAAAAAAGGTGCCAGGTTAGCAACACATTGCAGATGTGTGTCTGGTGAAACCGCCCATGCTACCTCCGTAAACACTCATTCATGTCTCCCCGTGTGCTGTGCTCCGCCCTGCTTCCCTGTCCTCTGACAGCACAAGCTCTAGCGGAGAGCGCAGCGGCATGGGAAATGGCGCCCACAGGGTGGAGCGGAGGGGGGGACTGCAGCCAAGTGCAAGGGGTGACTTGTGACAGCAATGGCACGGTGGTGGCAATGTGAGGGACTGAGACTTGTTATGGTGTGTTAGTTCCTCGCACCTTCCACCGTGAGCCCCTCACCTTGTTCCGCATGCATTTGAATGCATGCAGCCGTGTCGCGATACCCTATCCCACCACATGATCGTTTTCAGTTCAGAGTTAATTCACGTAACGTCGTATCAGCATGATACTTATGCTTTCACATCACATGCCATCACATGACGCCTTCCCATTAGATGCCTTCCCCTGGTACGCCTTCATGTGGCATGCCTTCCCGTGACACTAACTTGCATAATATGCCATGGCATGATCATCATGAGCAGCGACCTGAGCAACACCTTCTTGAATGGTAGCATTCCTCAGGAGATTGGCAAACTCACCACCCTCACTCTCCTGTAAGCCTCATCACCCTCACGTTCTTGTAAGCCTCACCACCCCTAATCTCCTGTATTCCTGTCACTCTATCATTTCAGCTCAACTGCAGGCAGTCCCTTCATCTGTGGGTACTATATTTCTTCCCTCCTACTCTCTTTCTATCCTCTTCATTGATTTCCTCCTCCCATCCTTTTCTTCCTCTCCTCCTCCTCCTCTTTCTCCTCCTCTGTCCCTGTCCCTGTCCCTGTCCCCTGTCTATCTCCTCCCAAAACAGCAATCTTGCCAACTGCTCTCTGAATGGCTACATTCCCTTCGAATTTAGTGCCCTCACCTCCCTCTCTCTCCTGTAAGAAAACCATGCAGACCTACACTAACGGTGCAAATCTTCATGTTATGGTGCTGATTCTGTCGATCTGCTGTTGCGCACTGTTATACCTTGCGTAAAAGCAACTCTTTGAAGCCTCAAGCCAGCCATAAACAGAGGCTTTACATCTTCACTGACCCCAATCGTTTTTTAATCATTCAGTCTATACCACCTTATTATGCTCTAAAAGGGTCTCAGCCTACCTCCTCCAATCCCTTTTCCATTCCTAATCCACTCCCCCACCTGTTTCTCTTCCTCCTCCCACACCCTCCACCACTCCTGGACTACAACCACTTCTAACCCTTACCTGTCCTGCCTTTGGCTTTTAACCCTACCTGTCCTGCATTTGGCTTCCCTCACATCTCTCCCAACCTCACCACCTCTTCTCCCCCTCACCGGCCTCGTCTATCCCCCACCTTCCACCTCCCTTGCAGCGATCTGAGTCACAACAGCCTATGGGGCACCATTCCGTCACCTTGCCTCGAATATCTGCAGAATCTGAGGCGCCTGTGAGTCGGTGGCTTGAGAGGCATGAAAGGCCTGACGGTTGAGAGAAAGGAGAGGCTT